TTTATAAAATATATTTTTTTTAACTCAAATACACAAACTTTCTGATGCATTCCTTTTGTTTGTTTATAACGGAATTGTATAATGCTTTGACTTCATGTGTCGTTTTAAATTATTTAAAGATCCTCCTGAAGTGCTGAGGATAGTACTGCAATATCCACACTTTGCCTTCTGAAATTCAATCTCAGTGAAATGATTCCATACCTCACAGGTTTTAGATTGATGAGGTGCCATTGTGCTAATCATAAATAAAACTTATTTAGTTTCTAAAATTTTGAAACTAAATGTTTTTCATTTATTTTTAATTAAATATGTAGGTACTACCTATATGTTCAGTATAAATAATACAATCTGTACCTGTGACACAATAAGAGTATAATTTTTTATGAGCGTTTAAACTTAGGATTTTGACAAAATTCGTAAAAATCAAAAAAATTAGCAAATTATTTTTGTTAGAAATTCATAAAAATTCTTTTCTATATCTTTAAGATTTAAAAATTTAATACAAGATCCTTTATAAGTTTGTCCATCTTTATTAAAAAAAAAATTTCTACCGGAAAGTCAAATTAAATTTTTATGAGTATTTGAAGTTGAGATGTTTATATTATTTTCATATTCACTCGATTTCCCTTGTAGCAATTTTATTATTTTGTTGCCCGTTTTGTGGTAATTCAAAAACGAATTACTGTAGACACTTGAAATTTACACCAACATGTTTATTTCATCGATTCATGTACTTGATAAAATTTTCAAAATATCTAAATAGAGTTACTAGTTTTCAGTGAAACTTTTGCTAGGTATTATAAAAAAATGAAGCATATTTAATAACTACTGTGTGATGTGGCATGAAGTTCTTAGTGGTATAAAAGCTGAATGTTTAACTGACAGTTATTAACAAAGAAAGAGATGAGCTAATGTTTTTACCCGGTTTTTATTATGAGCTGACAATTGCACTGTTCAGAATAAAAATTGAACATTGTATACACCATTAATAATTGCAGTTAACCAAAGTGATGGGCCAAATGAAATTATAGTTTAATATTTAGCCTAGGATAACCCACGAGTGCTGATGGGATTCATGGTAATATTGAGTCTAAAATGATGGAAAAAGGTAAGATGAAAGACTTTGATGACACAGTGGCTGAATCCCGAACAAAAGTGAAAGTATTGAAACTTGTGACATTTTATCAATGGAGACAATGGAGTAATAAAAAAAACTACGAATAAAATTGATTTTGTCAAAGGATCAAATTATCTTGAGTAGGATAAGTGGACCAGTTTTCCCCAGTGGCATTTATAACATTGTAGATGATGAGGTTTATTTTGTATATAATTCACCTGAAATGAGATTCTTTCAAGCCACTCACTGTATTATTTTATATTCCATAAATAAACATATTGATATGAAGTTAGATTTAATTAATAACTGATCAATGAGCACTGAGTAGTGAGTATTGATAAAACTAATGAGTATTGAATAATGTATAGCCGTATAGGTAATTAATTCATAACAACTGCAAACTCCAAATTATGAATTTGTGTCTTCCATAAAGTTGTTATAAGGCAGTAGTGCCGAATGAAAATAAAGCTGGTGGTTCAAATAGTTTGACTGGCCCATAACTAAATAACTAAATAGTTGGTTTAACTATTTTTATGTATCATACCAACTATAATTTAGAGTTACTTATGGTACAACATTAATCATTGTTGAAAGTACTAAATGTAGTTCGTTAAATTATTTTATTTGGTTCAACCAAATGATACTATAAGTAGGTACTATTTTTTAACAAAAATATTTGTTTATTTTGATTATATTATAATATTACCATAAACTATATTTATAAACCTAGTATAAGTTATTTAATTATTTTTGAATCATAAATATATATATCAGTGATTCTCAAACTTTCTTTCTCCCGTGCCACTTTAGTGTATTATCAATCAGTACCACTGATGACTAAAAATAGAAAGATGCAAACTTTACAAAGTTAAGCTAACAAAACATTTATTTAAAAAAAAAATGCTGTATAATACTTCAATGCAATTATTATTTATTTATAAATACAAGTTTATTAGTGTTTAAAAATTAAGGTATGAATTAAATAACAAATTTTCAATGAGAACCATGGATTTGTAGATCTGATATCAGCGATGAAATATCTGGTTCAGTGCTACTTAAGGCCTTCCGTGTACCAACATGTAATCTCTTGCATACCACAATTTTAGAACCACTGGTATAAGCTATTAAAATGTAAAATTTTTACCATATTACATAATTAAATTTTTTTCTAGCATATTTATTGCATATTTTGACACTAAAGTGTATAAAAATGTGTGCTCTAGTTATAAGTATGTAAAATATTGATATTTTAAATTCTCATAAATCACTTCAAAATTATAATAGGATATTTTTAGTTATCTAGCTGCTATTAAAATTTTCATATTTCTGGTCATACACTGTTTTATTTTTATTATTTGGTGGTAGGTTTTTTAATATATACTAGGGTATATTATTATAATGATGAATAATTATTATTTATTTAGATATTTATTGATATACGTATAAAAGGTGATCCATTTTTGTTTATTAAAATAAATTATATAGATAGGTACACATGTCACATAGAGAACTAAAATTTTATTAAGATGAAGATAAATATAATCGATCTGAAAATTATCTGTATAAGATAAAAGATAAACAATTATTATCTACTTATCTAGATATTTCCCGACACTGGCATACAGTATAAAGCTTGGATTTGCCATTTAATTCAAAAGTTTATTTTGAGTTTAGTTTGGTAATGAAATATAATAAATATATGGTGCCGGTGAGGTTAGATGTTGAATAAAATGCTCGGTTCGATGTACCAAGGTTCAGTTCAAGACCATATTTTTGAGTTCAACCCACCTCTACAAATAACCTACCCTACTACCAGAAATATGAAAATTTTAGTAGATGGATAACCGAAAAGATCCTTATAATATTGCAAAAAAACCTACTAGAGAACACATATAGTGTTCTTACATTTAAGTTTGATTATAAGTCAATTCTCTCTAATACTTAAGGAACAATACAGGATTGGAATTATTGCTGAAGGTACATTTTATGTATGATGCGTTAGTATAAGATAAAGATAGCGGGTGAAACATCCTCTTAAATAATAATAATTTAATTTCAATACTTCCGTGCACTTCAGAAGATTCCCATGTACTTTCAAAGTATTTTCTGATATTTGTACACCTACTTTCACTTCTTCCATCCCCCTCAATTTTCTATCATCGAGTACATCATTTTTTTTTAGTGTCAAGTGTGCCTTGCTTTCTAGACTGTTTCAATCTCATGCTGGCAGAAATGTAGTTTTCTGTCTAAATACCCTTTAAGATATTTTATTGATGATTTCTGTCTTATTATGAGGATATTATCTGGACAGTATTTTTTAAATAGTTCTTATTGAATATGATTACAATTGTCTTATCAGCGAGGGAGAGCTTTGTTCATTTGGATCTGAACTTTTTACTAATTGGAATATGAGGCAGCAGTTAAATAATCAGTAACTGACTCCATAAAGTATTTCGGTGGAATCAAATAATAATTGTAAGTACAGTTGCTTCACAAAAGTATTTACATTACAACTAACTACTGATTAACTATTTTTAAAATATTTACTATGGATGTTGAATCTACAATTATATTATTGTAAATCATTAGGTATTCAAATATTTTAGTGTATTTTCATCTTTAAATGTACTATTTTAATGTTAACATTAAATTGTTTATTTTCAAAAAATAAATTTCACCACCAAAAATTACTCATCTCACATTATGTATGTACCTAATTTTCTATCTTTATGATTCCAATGTATTAAAACTCTTAATTTATTTTTTACGTTAACAAATTATGACACCCTGAATAATTTACAGCTGAAATATAATTTAACCTATAACCACACATAAGCACAAATTCAATTGGTAATATGAATATTATGTCATCTCAGACAAAGGAAAAATATAATTATTACTATTCCTTATAGCTTATTTATATTACAAGTATATTGGTAAATTCATAAGAAGCCAAAATGTATATAAGTACTAATTATTATGGTAAAATTACTATTTAATTATTTAAACATGAATAGTAGCCGAAGTAATCCGCTGCTGCAAGAACCATCTAAAAATGTTAAAGCTATTAACATCTACATTTTATGGTGTGGTTAGTAGCTCGATGTATGACTATAGACTAATTTATCTTAAAACATCTTTGCAATCCTTTTTCCACCCATATAAAATATATTGAATAGTTAAACACTAATCTTACACCATTTTGTCTACATTTTCTTGAAAAACCTGATATTATATTACATTACAATTCCTTAAAGCACATATTATACTAAACTGTGTATACTACTTATTTTTTTTTTATCGCTGCTATTTATATTTTTGACATTGTTACGATGATTGACTGATGATTGTTATTTATTGCATTAATTTTATTTACAAAATTGTTGTTTAAAATGCCCCCAAAATTGTTATGCTTTTCCTTGAATATTGAAAATGTTATTATTATTATTATACACATGTTAAAATATAACTCTTAATTTTCCAAAAACACTTGCTAATTCTGTAAGTCTTACCTATATATGTATATTTATACATTTTACAAAGCTCATATGCCCATAAGTCACCAGACATGTGTTCCTATATGTGTTTCTGTTTGTTTTAGTTTAGTGTCTTTTTTATGCACTATAGAAGAACCAACATTTGATTATATTTAGAATATAATTGCAAATGTTATGCATAATATACATATAGTTTATTAATATTATACTTAAGGCATCTAATCTTAATGCACATACAAATTATAATTACTACCAGTAGGTATTTAAAAATTATATAAAAGGTTGATAGAAAAAAAAATGGAAAGACTAATTGTTTTTTAAATACCAATTGTATTTATTATATCCATAGTAATAATAACAATAATAATAATAATAATAATAATAATAAAAATAATAATAGTAATAATTACAATTTAAGTACGTTCTCCGCGGATACGACGAGCCAATTGCATATCTTTCGGCATGATCGTGACACGTTTGGCGTGGATAGCACACAAATTGGAGTCTTCTAACAAACCGATCAAGTAAGCCTCGCTGGCTGCGTGCATTGCCATGACCGCAGAAACTTGGAAACGCATGTCCATCGCGAATTGCTCGGTGATCTCACGTACCAAACGTTGGAACGGTAATTTGCGAATCAACAGTTCCGTGCTATTCTGGTAACGACGGATTTCACGGAGAGCGATGGTTCCTGGACGGTAGCGATATTTCCTCTTCACTTTTGGTGCACAACTCTTACGGACGGCTGTGGTGACAAACTTTTGTCTGGGCGCCTTTGCACCGATCCTTTTGCGCACTGTTTGTTTGGTACGTGCCATTGTGTTGCTGGATTGTGTCTGATGGGCACTCAAAATTCGTATGGTAAAGAACACGACTCACGCTGTCGACCATTATATACGCAAATCGAACCCAAATATGTCGCACTCATTAGCCGGTTAGATGGTGGGGGAAACCAGTTATCGTTCGGATTGGTGGTTCTTAGAAGACCGGTTATTACTGATACCGTTCCGGGAGCATTAACTAAACGTATTTGATATCGGCACCAATGTTAATTAGTCTAGAATGTTTCATGGCTTTAAAATGGTTCGTAATTTCAGTCTTAGTGCCAAGCATCGTGGTTAAAAATTGTGCGATAAGTCATTTTTGTTGATAATCGTCATAGATTATAAACGAATGGATAGGATATGCCTATTCTCATTTCTCACTCCACAGCGTGCAGCGGTCTTTTTGGGGGAAGAGAGAGGTACACGAGAGACAGACAATAATTTTTAAGGTTATGTTATGTTAAAAATCATAAATGATATAAGGATATAGACCCAGACACCTGCTTATCACTAGATTATATCATTAATGAAAATTATATTTTTTCAAATGAGTTATTTAATATTTATAAAAATGTTCTAATGTTAGTGCACACCCTCACTACTACATAATAAATCTTTTTAGTATTTATCAAAAAAATTACCATGATATATTATCTATGGTTAAGTCCCTTATAACCTCATATCATTTTTCAATTAATTCCCGCCCGATAATGTTGTGCGTTATCCATTTTCCTATTATCTATGATATTTGTGCGATAAGTATTTCTTGTTGATAATTGTGCTATAAGAGTATTATAAAAATACATTTACTATAATATTATTTAAATATTTTTTTAATGGAAAAAGAAATGGTCAAAATAATAACATAATATTTTCAAAGAGAATTATATAATTCACAAAATAATTATTAATTAAATCTAAAAACTAAAAATATAAAATTAATTAAAATCATAAGTTCTTGTAATTAATATTTAGGTATATAAAGGGGAAGGGCCTTAATGGCCTGTAGAAGCTAAAAAAAAAAAAATATATTAACTATTAAAGTACCTACTAAAATATTAGGTATGTTATTTTTTTGACTTTTTCTTTTCTCGTTTAAATTGTTCATATATTTTGTTGACAACTATTAGCTATTAGCGTGGGAAAACAAATCATTTGATCAATGATACTTATGATGGTGCCAAAATCATGTACGTTTTGTTAATATGTTTTATTACCTTCGAAGGGCACTTCGATGAAGAACTCATAGCGTTTACACTCAATAAAATAGTAATTGTTGAAAGTAAAAGAATGTGTGAAAAAATAAGAATATGAATTATGAATATTAAGGACATCATAACATTAGGTACACAAGTTGTTAAGTGCCCACTACAGCGTCAATAATATTCTATATTTTGTATCAAATAACGACTCCGATAAGAAATGGACATGTCAAAGATCTAGAAGGACCCGTCACGAAAGATAACCGTCTCTTTACTGTTCGGCCATCGCGAAATACACAGGTCCACCGTCGCGGGACGTCTTAGTTGTTGTATAGTAGACAGTAGTGTCAAATACATAATTTAATTACGCCTAGGATTACTCAAATTCTATCGGTTTATAATTGACTCATTTCATTAAATTTATTAAAGCAGTCTTTTTAAATATTATAATGAACACTGTCACTCATCGCATCAGTGAAATCAACTCCACGCACTCGGGCGTGGGATACATTTCGTAGGTACGAGGGTGTAATCCACACGAGTCACGGATACGTCGTGTTGGTCAGGTAGTGATGCAGGGGGTCGTGTGTTTTTGGTCCCCAATTCGCCATCTTTCAATCCAGAGGCGACATGATAGCAGTGAGCGGTCGGCGTCAATGGTAACTCGATATTATTGATAGCAGGTTTTTTAAATATTGTTATTATCATTTGTTTACACATTTGTTATTTAATAATACTTATATTATCAACATTAATTGTATTATTACCGAAGCAGCATAATATATCATATTATAATATAACTAGTTGCTTGTGAAACTCGCTGTCCTGAAACTCGGGAGCTTGTGAGAGTCGGCGATGCAGACGTCAATGTCGTTGAAATTACTTTTAGAAGTCACTCCTGTTGACGTCATGGGTAGTTAAAAAACAAAAATTTAGGAGGTGATAACGATTTTTGATAAGTCTTAGAGATCTCGTTTCGAGCGCGGGAATGTTTGAAATTTCACTTTACCCACGAAAATCGGCAATTGAATAACACGGTTCCCCGTCGCATGTCCTTTGCTTTTTCGTATGTAATAAAAATGTAAATTCGAAAACTGAGTTGGAATGTCTAGCAAGTCCGTCACCTCAAGTGAAAATCGTTTAACATTCAAGTTAGCCAGCTACGTAGGCAATCCGACTTCGTCGGATCGCAGACCCTCCGTTCAGCGTCTATGAGTGAAACTCAACTAATTGGTTGTATTTACCTACATTATACACACATAATGTATAGAAAATGAAGATCGCAAGTAGGTAATGATATTCGGCATGATAAACCAAAGATATTCTAATCATACGGATAGACGGTAGTAGGTATAAGTATTTTTGAAATTATTTCATAATGTAAGCACCACGAAGATTATGTTTACAATAATAATGGAGATAACAATGAAATAATCATTGGAACTTGGAAAAATCGTGTAAAAAAAACCGGAAAAAAAATGCAAAAAATCCGGGCGGCCATGCTACAGCATAGGGCTGCCGTAGTAACGACGGCGTCGATACATCCGCCGCCGGGGTTCGAACTCGCCTACCCTACGACTTTAACCTAACGCCTAAACCTACGGGACACCTACTCAGATGCTGACAGACGGAAAAATTTGAGCATTTAAGCCGTTTGTATTCATAAGCGAATACTGCAATAAGCAATGTTTAACCGATGAAATCCGTAGGATATGGCCATTATTTTTATTGCATATAGTTAACAAAATAGATGTAAATACATAGCAATTTCTGTTGTTGTAAAAAAACTAAAATATTTGTATTGCTATTATTATGCGTAATAGTACACATGTATACGGTTCTGCATCAAATAAATAGTTAATTTATTTAATATATAAGCAATATACAATTGAACGTACTCATTCAACTCAGAGTGTATTAATTGTGAAATCCGATATTATATCACAGCATCGAGCACTAAAATATTGTCTTTTATTTATTACATATTACATATTTTGGGTTTTCGAGTAGATTTCTTGAAATCCAACCACGGGATTGTGTGTTGATCTCATCGAAATCGCCCAATAATTTTTAATTTAATATATCGCAACCGGACGTTCCACAGTCGCAGAATTATACGATCGATATGGACCTGACCGTCGAAGAACAGTCCTGTTTCATTCGATATATTTAACCGAGAGAAGGACAAAACAGTAAGTGTAAGGCTCCGTTCGACGACTTTGGTTCTGTCTGTAAAAGCGATTTCGAAGTGTGAGAATGGGGCACGAAGAAAGGCGAACGGAGCTCGAAAAGCAAAAGTTTTGAAACAATCCCGGCGATGAGGCGAAGACGATATTTCAAAACGACGAAGCCGCGATATTTTTTCGCGCTCCCATTGGCCCGGATGCGAACGCTCGTGGAAGAAAAGAAATAGTGGTCTTTCGTTCCGGGAGGAAAAGACTCCGGGACCTTACCATTTTATATATTAAGAAGATAATATTGTTTATTAATATTTTCCATAACGGATAATCGGTCAAACTTTTTATTATATCGAAGGTGGGGGTGCATGTAAATTCCGCCCGAAAAAAACTATGGGTGAAAATAGGTACATGTAAATTCCACCCGTATACAAATTATAATAATAAACACATCCTGCCTTAAAGTAAAAAGTTCTTATTACTTAATTAAGTTTTTACAAAGTAGTTTATAATAATTATATGAGAAATAACATAGATTAATCAATATAAGTATTTAAATAAATATATTTCACATATTAAATAAAAAATATCTGAAAAATAAAAAATACTATAGTAATAAAATACTATAGTTATATCTCCACGTTCTGATTCCATAAATTGAGCCATTATATATACATGTGTATAAGACTCTAGGACGTGTACTGAACATAAATACATAATTCTAAACGAAAATAAAGTGATTCAACAATTTATAATATTCCCATCCATCCAATTATTAGATCCACCATCCACTATATTGTAATAAAAGCTGATAAGATATGATATGATTGACGGTTGTCGTCTGATACGATTGTTCCGTGTTCAAACATTTTGTAACTTCAAAATACTATAACACGCTTAGTTAAAAAATATTTTTTTTTCTGGTTGGAATTTATAAGTCCATTTTTGTAACTGTATATTTTTTCTAACGGAATTTACATGTTACCTTTTTTACCTGGACAGGAAGAATGTAACTTGGAAAAACGTAGATGCATAATTATTATTTATTAATTTTTGTGTTTATTTTTTATGATAGGTGTATTTAAAGGCCAAGTTTGGGATCCAATATAGAGCTTTTTAGCAGTTTGGAATTAATATTTTAACTGCTTAGAGTACAGTATTGAAAAGAATGCGTTATTCTTGCCGTCATTTTTCTACACACTCTGTCGATGATACTTTTGTTCAAAAAGGTTTTAAAAATTGGCAAAAGGTATGTATACTTACTATAAAAATAATTTGAAATTTTCATGGTACTTTTGACCCTTACTTTTTATTGGAATGACCTTTTTCTATAATATGATAGCAGTTTTTTATTAGTTATTAGTTGTTATTTTGTTTAGGTTCTACCGGATTTAGATATTCGAAGAGGTCCAAATCAAAACTTGAGTTACATGCAGCTTGGAAACAGCACCTTATAAGCACAGCAAAATTTGATTCTTATATTTTGAGCAAAAAAAAATGGTTCAGTGAATTCCGTACTATCAACTGCTCATTCAGAACAAATCAAAAGAAATTGAGATTATGTCAAAACTTTAATTGACTTGATTATATTTTTGGCCGGACAAGGATTGGTTTACCCTGGGCATCTAGGAAGTAAAGATTCTAATAATCAAGGTAAAAGTTTTTTTTTTCCTTATGATAATTTTTTTTTACTTCACATTTTAAGTATTTTATTTAAGAACCAAACAGAATGTGAATTGAGTATACCATTGAAAAATATTATATTTGTTTAGGAAATTTTAAGGAACTGTGCAATTTTATGGCCAAATATAACCTGCTATTTGCTACTCAGTATGCATTGAAACATATTTTAAATTATTTTAGTTGGAAGATTCCAAATGAACTGATAAACTACTGTTCTAACACTGTATTATTAAATATTATCAGTGA